GCAGGCCACCTCCCCCCACCTGGCCCCTGCCCTCTGGCTGTGATACTTGGGACCCCCGCACCCCATCGATTTCTCGCCACAAATCAACCCAATAGTCCGCCCCTCCCTAGCCGCTTACCCATCGCCCCCACCTGTCCCCGACACCCCAGGCCTCTGGGCTTTGTTCTTGGGACCGGACCCCCGACCCACAGATTTCTCGGCCCAAATCGACCCCCCCCCCCCGCCTGGCCGCAGCCTCGCTCTCACCTGGCCCCGACACCCCCAGGCCTTCGGGCTCTGTTCTTGGGACCCCCGACCCCACCATTTCTCACCCAGAAATCGACCCATACCCTCCACCTGGCCGCCACCTCGCTCCCGCTTGGCCCCAACACCCCCAGGCCTCTGAGCTCTCTTCTAGCGACCCCCGACCCGACGATTTCCTGCCCAAACTCGACCCACACCCCCCACCTCGCCCCCACCTGGCCGCCACCTCGCCCCCACCTGGCCCCGACACCACCAGGCCTGTGGGCTTTGTTCTTGGGATTCCCGACCCCACGATTTCTCGCCCAAAATCGACCCACACACCCCACCTGGCCGCCACCTCGCCCCCACCTGGCCCCGACACCACCAGGCCTCTGGGCTTTGTTCTTAGGACCCCCGACCGCGCGATTTCTCGCGCAAAATCGACCCATACCCTCCACCTGGCCGCCACCTCGCCCCCACCTGGCCCCGACGCCCCCAACCATCTGGGCTCTGTTCTTAAAGCACCCGACCCCGCGATTTCTCGCCCAAAATCGACCCATGCTCCCCACCTGGCCGCCACCTCGCCCCCACCTGGCCCCGACACCCCCAGCCCTCTAAGCTCTGTTCTTCGGACCCCCGACCCCACGATTTCTCAACCAAAATCTACTCATACCCCCCACCTGGCCGCCACCTCGCCCCCACCTGGCCCCGACACCCCCAAGCCTCTGGGCTCTATTCTTGGGACCCCCGGCCCCGCGATTTCTCCCCCAAAATCGACCCACGCCCCCCGCCTGGCCGCCACCTCGCCCCCACCTGGCCCCGACACCCCCAGGCCTCTGGGCTCTGTTCTTGGGACCCCCGACCCCGCGATTTCGCGCCCAAGATTGACCCGCGCCGCCGACCTGGCCGCCATCTCGCCCCTACCTGGCCCCGACACCCCCAGGCCTCTGGGCTCTGTTCTTGGGGCCCCCGATTCCACGATTTCTCGCCCAAATTCGACCCATACTCCCCACCTGGCCGCCACCTCGCCCACCTGGCCCCAACACCCCCAGGCCTCTGGGCT